CAACCACGTCAAACCTGGCACAGAAAGAGGGGATGGAGAAAAGCAGCCTTGGACAACCTCAACTTGCATCTGAGTGAGTGGGTGATGAAGGGACAACAAATCAGGAGGAATTCTGCCAGAAGGAGTCTGGGATCAAGGCGCAGAACGAGCCCACAAATTTCCCATCCTGCCGTCACAGGGAGCTGACAGATCTGTCTGGAATGGAGACATCGGTAGGAAGATGCAGAGCAAAGTGATGAAGAGGAATGGGTTTATGAATGAGCAGGAGTACACTGTCCTATTCAGACAGGAACCCGAAAGATGCAAGAGCTGAAGTTCTCACTGAGAACTGCTGTAGTACCAGAGGACAGGAGAGTGGCAAATTCAATGGTTTGAAGCATTCTCATCACATGGAGCTACATGAGCAGCACTTCCTTGTCCACACCAATGAAAATAGGTGGAAACTGGCAGAACCATGGACCATGCAGGAAGAGGTTGGGATATTGCAGCAACAATGCAGTCAATTGCAGTGGGAAATCTCTTGGAGATGCTGGAGATGAAACCCCTCTCTCATGAGCACAGGCAGGTACCAAGGGAGGTGGCTGTGTGGCCTGGCTGGAAGGCGCCAAGATGCTGGTATCCAGGTGGTGCCTATTGCTGTGTGCTGGGACCTGGGGGATGCCATCAGCTTCCAAACCCTCCTCAAACCTCTGGGGGCTTCTGATTTTGGCCACTGCATAGGGGCTTTGACACCACCTTTCCATGCCCTTCAGGAGCTGACAGATTGGTGTCTTTGCCCATCCTTCCTCACTTGTGTGGACCACCTGGATTTATTTTTCTCTTATGTGGGTGCCTCGTCACTCCAGCTTCATCTTCCCACCATCACCTCTTCAAGGCCTGAGATTTCATTTTGATCTCGTCTTCGTTTATTCTGTCATGAGCTGGAGATCCTCAGCACCTACAAACACGTCCCGGGGGTTTCCTCAATGGAAGGCAGAAGCCTCGGATACTCCTCTTGGAGCCGGTCCTCTTCAACATTTCACATTCAGAAATCCAGCCTGGTTTGGGTTGGAAGGGACCTCAAAGCTCCTCCAGCTCCAACCCCTGCCACGGGCAGGGACACCTTCCACTAGAGTAGCTTGCTCCAAGCCCCTGTGTCCAACGTGGCCTTGAACACTGCCAGGGATGGGGCAGCCACAGCTTCTCTGGGCACCCTGTGCCAGTGTCCCACCACCTTCATAATGAAGAGCTTCTTCCCAGTATCTCCTTCAACTCTTCCCTCTTCCAGCTGGAAGCTGTTTCTCCTCCTCCCATCCCTACAGGCCCTTGTCCCAAGCCCCTCTCCAGCTTTCCTGCAGCCCCTTTAGGCACTGGAGCTGCTCTCAGGTCTCCCCTTCAGGAGCCTTCTCTTCTCCAAGCTGCCCCAGCCCAGCTCTCTCAGCCTGGCTCCAGAGCAGAGCTGTTCATTTCTGTGATCATTTTGTCTTTGCACTCTTCAAGGCATCCACTCTCAGTCTCCATCCTGACCTCCTTCCCCACGTTGGTCTCTGTGGAGAGACAATGATGGGCTGGATGGATCTTCAGACTAACCCAGCGCTGACTACTTAGGGTTTCATGCCTTGCTATTGAAAGCAGTGCCACGTCCCTTTCCATTGCCAGAAGCCTTCTTCAGACTGCACTGCAGCTGCTCGACACCTCCAGATCCACCAGAGGACATGTAGGGCTCTGCCCAGTTCAGCCTTGGCCAATGCTCCTGCTGCCAACTGCGCCATTGGAAACGGGTCACACTTTCTCCACCCAAATCATGGCAGTGATGGACACTCAGGGTCAGACCCACACGCTCCAAACCAGGCTGAAAGCTGAACCTGCACATCCCCGATGACAAGTACCTGCAGATGCTTCTGGTCTTTGTGCACAGCTCCACTCACAGCAGCTGCCTGCAGCACTGGACCCGATGGGCTCCAGAGTATGCAGCTTCCAGGATCACCATCCGTGGAAGCATCCAAAAGCCACGTAGATGTGGCGCTTGGGGACACGGGTTAGGGGTGGCTTCGCAGTTGGGCTTGATCTTAAGGGTCTTTTCCAACCTAAATGGTTCTGTGGTTCTGTAAAAGGCTGGGGCAGCCCTCTGTGAAGATCGGTGTCCTACAGAAATGCCTGTGCTGCGGTGGGTCCTCCTCTAGCTGGAAAGTAACACATGGATAGTTCTGGCTGCATACTCCAAGTCACCGCGTTGGGCTGCTGGTGGCATCATCATTGCTTCCTGATCCGTTCTGCCCAGCACTCACTGGCACCTCTGCTCTTCCCAACCAGGAATCCCGAAATGGTCTCCCACTGATTCTTCCTGAATATTTACTTGGGAGTAAGCTTGAATTCACTTGAAAGCCTAACTCTATGGATTCCATACTGCAAGCCATGGCGTGTATCTGCTATGCCTTCCACCAGCTAAGCTGCACATAGGGGTGGCTGCCAATGCCTCTGACTCCTGGGGCTGCTGGCAGCATTCCCAGGACTCCAGCTTTCTTGTCACAAAGTGCCAATGGATCACAGGAATTGAAGGATGAGCAGTGCAGGGGAACAGAACCTGCGCTACAGATGATGTGTCCAGAGGAGGAGCAGGTCCGACAACCTGCAGCATCCTTGGCTGGTGCCAGTCCCTTCGTTCCTGCTGTTGGCGCAACCTTCCCACACCAAGGGCCCTCTCTAGGCTCTCAGTGATGCTTTCAACTCTGCACTGATGTTGCGCCAAGAAAGACATCTCCTTCTCTTCCACAGATGGCTTGGTTTTGTCTTACTGAATCACATCAAGAGTTTCCCATTACCAGGAACCAGCCCATTCACTTTCTTCCACCAAATCGCACTGGGCACATTTCTTCAGAACCTTGAGGTGAGGATCTTCCTTCAGGATCTTCCCCTTGTGCCTAGAGAAGACTCAGGCTCATGGACCACTTTGTGAGGGTGAAAGAGGTTCTGGAAGAGAGGTGGTGGTGTGTCATGGAATGTCTAACCTGGAATCTTCCCAGCAAAAAGGAGACGGTAAGCGAACTCGGATTCACTGATTTACTTGAAGATCATTGGAAAGTAGAAGGAAGACTTTGTCAGAAGACAGGACAGGGGCATGATGGCAGTTGGAAGAGCATCACAACAGGGGACTGCAGCACAAGACATGAGGCTGCTTCTACATCCTTCTGATTGCCACCCTGTTGTGTTGGATCCGGCTGGGATGGAGCTGATGTTCTTCCGAGCAGCACATGGCGTGGATTGGATGTGTGAGGGTGACTGTTGGCAACACACCAGCAGTGTTCTGGTGCTTTGGCTATTGCTGAACAGCGCTTGCACACCATCAAGACCTTCCCTCCCAGCAAGCAGGCTGGGGATGGACAAGAAATTGGAAACGGATGTTCCATACAACATCATGCTCAGCAAATCAACACTTAATGAGTGGAGGAGGATGCAGGGACATTTATGCTTACAGTACCTGTCTTCCCACGTAAATGTTATGCACACAGAGACCCAGAAAATGGGGCAACATCTGCCTGCTGCCAGGACCCGCTCATTAAATTCCTTAGCTTGCTTTCTCCACATGCAGCTTTGAGCCTGTTCAACTGGCTTTATCTCCATCCACAAGCTTGTCTGGCTCCTCTCTTCCCCTCATCCTGCAGGAGGGGAGCAAGCGAGCAGCTGGGTAGGTGCAACTGGATGGCTGGCCAGGGTCAACCCATCGCACCCACATGCGTGCAGGGAATATTCCCACTTTCCACACAAATCGATTCCCTCCTTACTACTGCTTATATCCGATGTGCAGATGTGGCCCAACTTGTACCGCTTCCACCTTCTGGAACAAGCACGGAGCAGGCTGCAGGCATCTTCCTCCCTGGCTGCTCAAAGAAATCATCTCCTATGAATGGGCCTCTTCGCTTTGCACATCTACCAACAAGGGCCACGCATCATCTGTGCACACCTGCTCCAGGATGCAGGTCACTGGTCCAACCACCACTCCTTTCCTCAGGCACTCAGCGGTCTGGCTGCTGCTCCTAGCTCTGGGATACTTGGGCTGCACAACACTGTAGGTCATGAGGCCCTTCATGCTCATCATTCACTCCACTATGCATCAGTCATTCATTACGGTGCCCATTTTCCTATGCTAAACTATGGGATTTCTGCCCCCAAACACTCACTCCACACACAGCGAATCCATAGATGCCCATACCACCCTTGCTTGCTCTATCACAAGCACCTGCCTCTTAAACAGTAATCTCCATCATTAAAGTGTTTAGTTCCATCATACACCTTCCTTCTTCACCCACCAACACGTTTGGTGTGTCATCTGCTCCTACACTTGGCCTATCTGACACTCTTCACTGCAGGGACCACCTTTTTCTTCCCTTCCTGCCTCTCTAAATCCACTGGAGTCTTTCCCACTGAGATGCATATTAGTAAGGAACAGACAACTGATAGAGTCTAGTGGGGTCTCCAAAGATGGATCTCCAAAGCAACATCTTTCACCACAACCCTACGCATGCGCCAGGCATCCGTGTGGTAACAGAAACCTTGCAGATGTATTTAAAATACAGAAAATAAAGAACAGAGATCAGCAGGGGAGTTCTGCAGGGGTCAGAGATGTTGAATGTAACCATAAATGGGACAGGAAAACCCACAATGACAAATCCTGTTGGCAAAGCAGCTGTTCATGGCTGGTACAGCAAAGAGAACTGCAGAACTCAATGCAAGCCTCAAGGACATGGACAAGAGAGGGCAGTGAAAGGCATCCACACAACACGTGACAGAATATGCTGGACAAACACACTACAAAGGTCTATAAAAACTATGAGAGTGAAGACTCTGAGTGCACAGCCTCTCCTACAATCAAAACCAAAGGAGCATCGAATGAAGGCAGCGAGAGACACATTTAAATAACAAATAAATGCAAAAGAGAAAGATAACCCCCCCGCATATAGAAATAGACCTTTTTTGCTTCAACAAGTTATTATTGAACATGATTGTGTTTTAAAAAAGTACACCTACCTCCTCCCCTCCAAAAATGCACCCCACAGCCAAACCTCAACATTGCACAACTGGCAAAGGCCTTATAAAGGCTTACAATAGGAAGAGTAAGAAACACATACCTCCTAATTGTCAGCAGGGGGTTCTCCTGCTGCCACCTTCGCATCTGGAAGAGGGTTGGTATGAACAGCATCTGTATTATCTGCCTGTAATTCCCGACTCATTTAAATAGCATTTATTAAACACTGACCATTGACCTTTCGTGACCACTGACAGGTCTCAGGTATGTATAAAAGTTGTCATGCACATTAGGAAAACAAAAGAATTATCGACAGTTGGGGTTTGCCATTTACACTGAGTTTCTAAGAGATAGGCCATGGGATCCCAAAGTGGGAAGGTTTATTCGCTAGGACTAATAGAGAAACCCCTCCATTCAAAATATAGAGAATGCACTAACAAAAAATGCCCATCTTCTGCATTCTTTGATACATGTGATGCTCCAGAAGCAGAATTTGATGGTCCAAGTCTTTTATTTCTGGTATTAAGAACCCTGTCCTTTTTTTACGTACACATCCTGTGTATTTTATCCTGTGCCTATTTTGTTCACATCTTCCATCTACCAGAAACGTTCCTTGTTTAAACACGGAATTCCTTCTTAAAGTCACTGCAATGCAGCTGAGCATGGGCCTGCTGACGAGCTGCAGTTCAGCTCTGCTGCATCTTCCTGCGCATCTCCTCCAGCGCCGCTTCCCGCGCCCTTAACTGCTGTTTGAGTCGTGCGATTCTTTCATCCCGGATGGTTTCATCCAAGTCTGGAGGAGTCAAAGGGAAAGCATCATTTCTGAAAGACCCTTCCAGAATTGAAGGGGCATCTTCAGAAGACACTAAAACTGGGATACTTGGGTATGGAATGTCACTATATTGAGAGTCCAGGTCTTGCTCAGAGTCCCTGCCCAGAGATGACACAGTGAAGTCTGTGGAGATACTTTGCTGCAGTAAGACCGGCAGAGGTGAAGGACTTCTGCTATGGACACTGGAACTGGAGCTGGTGTTCTCTGAACTTGGACCTGTGGTTGATTTGACTGAAGTTTTCCTTTTCTTTCCAGTGTTTGACGCCGCTGAGGATTTTACCTTTCTTTTCTTAGCCAGATCCTCTTCTGGATCCACAGTTTTCTGTAGAGCCAAGAAAACACACTTCTGTTAAACTGAGCATCATTCCACATTGTAAGTAAGCACAAATCACAAGCTATTTGTTGCAAGCTTCTTGGCATTCCTATATGGAAGACGTTTCTTTAGCAATTTGAGCAAACATACCTCTGTGTTCAGTATCTTTCTAACAAAGATTCCCAGTTAACAATTCCAGAACACTGAATTCCTTCCTTAGTGCGCTTCTGCCTCTCCTGTGCACACCTATCATCTCCTGCTGCTGCTTATATTCAACTGCAGTGTGAGACAAAACCTTTGGGAACACTGTGGCTGAACAGAGCTACTTTGGATGGATAAAACCATTTTACTGCATTAAGATGGAAGTTCCTTCATTGAGGGAGTCTTTCCAGAAGCACCCAAACAAGTTCTTGGCCAACATCAAAGGACCACGTTTATAAAGACATTTGTAACGCTGAAGATTAGAGAGGTACAACAAAACCACATACGTGGATACCCTTCTTTGGCAGTCCACCTCACCTTGTCATGTCAGTGACTGAAGCACCTTAGAACAATGACACTTGACTGATCTCAAACTCAACTGTAAAGCCTCACAAGAAATTACTCTTCTATTATTCTGCTTATACCCACTGGATAAACATAATTGTTTGCAGAAGGTTCCATATAAATAATTAGGACAAAGAGGCCTGGTTTCTATTCCAATAAAGATTACCCCTGCCACCACCAGAGGGTCCAGTCTTCTTCAAAGCGTTTGTCCTTCAGATTTCCTCCCATGAAACCAGGAAAGAGGAGAAGGATTCTGGGACTACTCAAGTCATACTCAAGTCACCCAACTCCTTTGTGGCCCACAAACAAGATGTAGGAGCGATTCTGACAGCGACCATAATTACTGGCTTGCCCTGATGAACCTAGAAGAGGAAGGATGCAAACCAACACCCAGCTCTGTACTGAATACACACATGGAGCTTTCTGAAGGTGTTGCTGTACACATTTTAGCACCGTAAGATTTCAAGATACCTTTTCCTCATTCACACATTCCTGGGGTTGATTCGTTGTTTCCACATCTACCAATGATGAATCAATAGAATCACTTTTCCTTTTCAAGCTGTTACTGGAGCAAACCCTTTCTTCTAGTTCCTCACAGGAGCTCCTTAATGGTATTCTCTTAAGGTAAACTCTCTCCTCCTTAGAGAGTCCAAATTTTTTCCTTAATTCCAAGTATTGTTTCCAATGTGGCTTTTCTTGCTGTTTGATCTGAATAAGCTTTCTTGGTGAATCCATCTTTCCACATTGCATCTGAAATACAGAAACAGTGAGAGACCCATCAATCTCTCAATCTCTCTCCCCACACACACGTAAGCTAAAAAGTAGTTACTAGGAAGACAGCTGAACATTTGTGTTGTCTGCCATTCTCCAAGAGTTACACTTAACACAGATTAATCCAACTTTTAGGTATTATATACATATGTACACAGGCCTAACGCTCTTGTTAGTCACGTAAAACCCCAAGTACACTGTGGAACATCCAGAAAATGCAGAGTCCAACCAGCAAACACAGAAGTAAAAGAAGCAACAAGGAAATCACCTGTTCTAAAACTTCTAAGTAACAAAGGAAGATGATGGAAGATCAGACAAGTGTTTTCACAGGGCCACATTTAGGCTGCTGAGTGCATCTCATCCTTGTGTTGTGGTTGACAATACTAACCAAGCACCATTAGCCATGTCGGGTATCTAACCTCATTGTAACCTGAGCTGTGTCTGAACTTCAAGGTCAACCTCACATCAGTAGGTCGGGCAATGCACAGGCTTGCAAATTCACAGACTATAAGCAGCAAACATTCAATGTTTTTCAGAGATTAAAGCAACACTTGGCACCACACAGCACTAAAGGAAAAGAAAAAAAGGCTATTTAACCAGTTTCCAGGTGAGGAAGGATCACAAGAGTCCCTGCAACGCGTTCCAGTGATTAAACTTGGAATTTTGCACAAATATGCCTAGCTGGCATTGCTCTTCTACCTGCTCAACGCAAGCTTCAGAATGATTCCTTTTATCTGAAGGCAAATTCATCCTGGCCTCTTGAGCAACTGAAACCTTGACCTCCAATCTCCATGGGTAGAGGCTGGGGCATTTGAGGCTAAGGACTTTTTTGATGTTATGGCTTTAAAAGAACAAGAGGTCCAGCCTGAAGGTGGAAAGCCATTAAGGATCACAGGAGTTTCTTCTGCCTGACATGAAACCATGAGTCATAGAAGGTGGATCCCTCCTCACCATGGCATGAAAGGAAGGCAGCACAGCTCCTGCCTTTGGCTGAGCTAGTGGAGGCTGGAGCTGACTTAGTGCAACACCAGAGCTTGTCTCTGGGTGACAAACCCTGCTCGACCACCTCGGTTTCCACTTGTGTAGCTGCAAACTTCTCTACCTCACATCGCACCTACAACAGTCAACAGCTAGGCTTTGTGAATGTGGTACCAACCACGTAAAGCAGGTATCAAAGCATTTCAGATATGAAAGCAGACTGTCCCCAGGGCGCAACCAAGAAACAACTCTCCTATAGTTTCAGTTGTTTCTGACAATTTATCTTGTGAGAAAATACAAAGGCATCTTCTCCCTCCTTCTTCCTTTTCTCTATGCATTTTCTCACTTGCATAGTACAATCTTATTGAAAAGAAAAGCCATTTCTTGACCAGAAACACACTTTAGATGAGCATATCCAGTGGCAAAACACCTGGTTACAAAAAACTGTGAACTTTTTAACAGCCATTTTATTCAAATAGAACCAGGACCATACAACAACTTAGCAGAGTGAGATGGGCATGTGTATTGGAGAGAGTTACCTTTTGACAGTCCTCACTGAAAGCACCCTCTTGCTTAGCCTGAGGCAAAACAGCCCTTGCTGCTTTGGGGGAATGGGTCTTTCCTTTGCCATTGGGGCACACGTTTTCCTGTGCCCCATCTGCCGTAACGGGGGTCACTCCACTTGAAATGCTCGTGTTGAAGAGCAAACTCTTTCTGTGGTTTACAGTGGAATCCTGCTGGTTAGCACTTGGTGTCACCGGAGCTGCAGGTGCAGATCTTACATCGCTTCTTAAGCCAGTTGGGGAAGGGGAGTCTGGAGACGGGTTTGGATCTTTCTGAGACAGCACCATCCCGCTGGTTTTGGACAACACCAGATTCACTACTTCACTGGTTATTTTGCTGACTGCAGTAGAATCAATTAGTGTGGATGTCTCCGTTCTCACTGAAACATCAGAAGAGGAAGATGGCTGGTTGTCAGCTTGGCCCGATAGAACATCAGAGCTTCTTTTGGTCAACAAATAGACTTTCCCATTGTACATGACCAGAGCATTATCTTTAATAGGCAGGATTTTAGTTTGGCTTCCACCAGGACCGCTAGAACAGAGTGATAAAATATTCACAGAGTTCGCTTCTGCATTCTTCATGTCTGACAAAGTCTTCAGGATCTTGGAAGCCACGTTATTGGATGACTTCACGGGGATCAGGCAAGGCGTCGACGACTGTGGACCTTCTTGCACGACCCATTTCATCGGACATTGCTGGCACTGCTGACCATCAGATGTTACTGTCCCAGGAGCAGGGCTACTTCCCTTTTGTGTAGCTGTCATTATCAACGTTTGTGAAACTTCCGGGGCAGGTTTTGGGCAAATGGCTCGTAAGCTCGTAAGGGCTGTTTTCGCTGTTTTCACTGTTTTCACTGGCGACACATAAATAACAGTTGGCGTTTTTGCACCGTCATCCTCTCCAGACGCTTCTGTCACTGTCGTCGTAAGGATTTTTTGCTGTACTGCAGGTGGTAAAAAAGAAGCTGGGACAGATTTCACTTCTGCATCAGCTGGGATCTGGAGGTGGTGGCCAGAAGGCACGCTTGAAGTCTTCACAGCAACTGGCAGTGTTTTTGTGTTGAGCACCATGTATGCTGTGTTGCTCTGGTTGGATGAACTGGTCACAGCAATGTTCTGTAAAGACAGTTTGTCCACTGAAACACAACTGCTCTGGCTGTTAGCACCTGAATTTGGAGTTAGGCTTTCTTTTTCAGAACCTGCCCTAAGACTTTCCTGTTTGTCTAATGTCCTTGCAAGAATAATCTTTCCAGGGTTAGGAGACTGAAAAACGGGTATCTTAACAGATGAAGGCGTGGTGGTATTGCCAAGCTGTGTCTTAAAAGTAAGATGGACTGGACTAGAAACACTCGCTTTAGAATTATTTGCCATGGTTGAAGACTGAACTATTGGCACAAAGCTTCCAGAAGCTATAGGAATTGGAAGTAATTTCAGAAGGTTTTTTCCATCTGGTCCCGTCGTCTGAACTACTCGGTACATACAGCCTGCAACGCTTAACAAAACAAAGACAAGAGACAAGAGACAAGAGAAAAGAAAGAGAGCGTAAGTGAACACAGCACAGATATCTTCATTCATGTGCATCAGTGCATTGTACACCCGGTGCTGCCACGCCTCAGAAGCTGATGAACTACTGAAAGCTCCTGATCTTCAGGGACTTCACTGGCAAATCAGACTGAGCTACTCAGTGTACATTTGGGAGCAGCATTTCAGAACCACAGGCTATCTGAAAAACAACGGGCAACCTTTACATCCCAGAGTAGCAAGAAATGGCATCCTTTTCAGGTAACAAAAGACCTAAAGAAACCCCTTACGTTACCCTCCTCCTCTGCTTACAGGCCCTTCCGTTCTGAGAAAATAAAAAGCTCCCTCCAGATTTCACAAAGAAGCTGTGTTTTTGCTTTCCCACATCCCTGTTCCTATTAATATCCCTGCTTAGTGCTACAAAGTCTGAATCTCACAGAAGCTTCAGGAAAAGGCAGCAGATTAGTTGTGTGGCAAGACAGAAGCAGAAATTACTTCAGACATACACACAAAACAAGGGAATTAAGATGCAGAATACACTGACTTTGTGGAGTAGGCTGTAGGGTGACCACATGCCTGCATCTCCCCTGCCTGCTCATTCTTCAGGCAGATACAGACCACAAAGGTGGTGGTCTTCAAAGAAAGCAACAAAATACTATCGAGATACATGCATTTATAAGAACAGAAATCTAAGTCTAGGAAGGGAAAGGCTTCAAAACTGAGGGGGAAGACATGGAAACAGCACCAGTCAAATCTGGAGAGTGCATTTTGGTAGGTGAAGATAGGAACTCCCAAGAGCAGACAGACAGAGAGAACCCTGTCAAACCAGAAGTTAGTTGTGATGCTTCAAACATCAAGATTTTCCAAGTCCAAGATACTGGACTTGAAATATGTATTGCAAGATGCTCGTGGGACTCTCAGAAGAACAATCTAATGCCCAAAGCACTGCAGAAGCAACGTGGCATGTCGAAACATGCATGAACAAAACAGCTTCCCTCACTAGCAAAGAGGCCAAATGAACTAAAAGGAAGTTTCATAGTCTTGGTATCAGATCCAGAATGATAAAAAGGCAAAGCTGCCAACTCCACTATGTCCCATTGACTTTCTGCATATTTCCCTCTACCAGTCCAGATGACATCAACGTTTTGTGCTGTTTACTGTCAAGTAGTTTTGAAACACTGGCGTTTTTTCTGGCAGTGAAGCATTACAGTTTGGACTTCCAACCCAGCTTGGAACAGAGTGACCAGGAGCTACCCATCACGTGTCCCACTGATAGATCTCCTCAAGAAGTCAGTCAAGACGTTGCCTTTTCCCATCAAGTGAGAAGAAGGATGCTGCTCACTCTCAGAGCTGGACAGCTCCTGCTACAGTCTGAGGGGTCATTTTCCCCTTGGTGGCTAACACAAATGACCATGCTATTGTCTATCTAAACCACAAAGGCTTTAGACATACAGAGCTTTCCTCATTGTACCTTACCATTAACTCCCACACCCAGTATTTTGGTACAAGGCCTCATTTCTAAGCACAATGTGTGAGAAGGCAAATGTTGGTGTGATTGATCAGAGCAGTAGGCAGCCTTCTGCTTCAAAAACAACCGACTTAAAAACATGGCCAATACCCCACCTGGTTCTAGTGGAAGTTGCCATCAGAGGTTTTAGTAGCAAAATGGAGTTGGATGGTTTGGCATCAGAAATGACAGTTGAGAAGGACTAACATGAGCAATCTTATAGAAATACTTTTGCTTAAACAAAGAGCAACTACAAGTGTTTGTATGCTAGAACTTAAAGCAGAAAGGACTCACTTCATATCTCCCAGCACTACTGATAATGCAAAGTTAGGAAGACCAGCACTGAGCTCCTGGACAGCTTCTTGCATTTGTATCTATTCTGTGCTTTGGATCATTCAGTTGAGCTTGATGACCTTAAAGGTCTTCTCCTACTTGATTCAATGCTTCATTAATAACCCCATGATCTACAATGGCAACTTCTCTTCTACATGCAAGAATCAATATTCTGAAGGCAAACTGAGAAGGACATTTTCATCAAGTTCATGTTCATGTCTATGGAACACAGACATGGAGCTGTCAAACCACAGCAGCTTAAACAGAGCAAATGGGCACTTACCTCTGCTCAAACTAACTAGCACTGCAAGGAGGCATCAAAGGGCAGAAGAAACCCCCAAAGAGGCATGCTCCTTCACCTGTCAAAGCAAGGGGATACCTCTAATTTTTGGGCAAGAGGAAGGGGAGCAGCTCAGAGAGAGAGAGCGAGGGAGGCAGCAAGAAACAGAGAGAGGAAGAGAGAGATGAGGCAGAAGACGCATTGGCATGAATGCTTTCTTCAGCAGCAACGCCGGTGTCCAGCGCTCAATTCCACTCTTCTTGTTTCTCCCTTGGGTCACTGTTCATCTCCTTTAGGATGGGCTCAAAAAACGGGTTTGACACTGTGCTACAAACAGGATCTTTTAAGTAGGCTGGGGAAGAGACCTCCTTGAAAAAATCCGGTTTGTCAGAGCTCCAGGTCATTCTGCTTCTCAGGATCCCAAGAAGACAACGGCAGCTTTTGATCTTCACACTTCATGCAAAAAGAGCAAGAAACCCCCCAGGTGCAGTTTTGTGGGCAATAACATCCTTTTACCTGAAACAAATACTCACAGGACTGCAGAAGCACAAAAACAAAAAGCTAAAAGATAGACAAGAAGGAAGGAAAGGAAATGTTCAGAGACATTGAGAAATTGCATTCACACGTCTTCCCCCTTTGGAAGAGGAAGGCAAAGCGTCATTCTCAAAGTTTTTAGATGCTTTTTCTACTCCATGTATCAATTGAAAACCCTCTACCATCTATAGCTCACATTGGTAAAGACTCTTCCAGGTGATACAAAGAAATAACCAGGATGGGTGCCTTGTATTACCCAAATTAAAGCATTTTTCATACATTATTGAGTGATGAAGAGGAGAGCTGGAAGCTGCCTTAGTTCCCTCTGCAGGCTCCCCCTGCTTTGAAGAATCTGGTTTAAGAATCACTCAAGCAGAGTGAAAAAGGTCTTTCCATCCCCTTTTAGAAGTGTCAGATAATTTAGTTTAAGAACTGGCTGATTAAAAGTAATAATTATAGGAATTCTGTCCATTAGGCCAAGTTGGACATGAGGATTCCTCCCATAATTCTGAAGCAGTGTTCCTTCTCCTCTTCATCCTCCTTCACTTCCCTACCCCACAAATAGAAGCCCCCTCAAATCTCAGATATTAACACTAATAATAATTCCATTGCAATGGTACTTCAGCATGGCCCAAGGTCTAAAGGCAAAGCCGGAGGAAAACCGGCTCATGGAAGAAAAAACGAGTGGTGGACTGGGAGAAATCCTGCCCCATGGCACCACAGAAACCACCAACTTCAGGTTTTCATCTTCCCTTCCCAAATCCATACATAAATCTGCGCCCTTCAGGGTGGCAACTGTCAACGTGATGACATCTCGCTTGACCGAAAATGGTCGTTATTTCTTGAGGCAATATTGAAACCTCCCAAGTCAACACTGGGCACGGCATTAAGCAGGATATGACAGCAGAGACAAGGGAAAGAAAAATGGGAACGTTTCCTTACTTAGTTCTATCAAGCTGGCAGAATAAAGAGAACAGTCAACGCTTCCCTCAGCTCAACAGAATTCCCATGAAGAAAACAGGAATTCATCATCATTTGTTCCATCAGCCACCGACTGGATTGCGAGGTCTCATCCAAATGCATTTAGTACTCTTCCTAAGAAGCCCAAAGGACACCACACTGAGTATTCCAAACTTCACCTCCTGTCCCTGGTAAGGAAAGGCAGCTCTCTGTCAAGTCTAGGTGCAGTTCGACTTCCAAGTTGCCAGAAGAAGCATTCCCAGGCAGAACCAAGCTGGTTTTTAGCCTGCCTTTCCTTCCAACCATTGCTTTAGGGACACCTTTCACCTCCTCTCAACATGAATAAACCAAGCAGGGCCCAGAAGCCACTACAGAGCTCAACCACCCAACTTCACTGATTTTAATGGATTTGGCTGATTCCAGAAAGCAGGAAAAGGCCATTGATTCTACACTGGAAGCGTAAATCTGGGGACAAGGGCAATTTGCAAAATTTATTTTATGCAGCCACATCCCATCCATGGATTAGCTGAAGGTTGAATCAAAACAGGTTTTGTTATCATTACCTGCAAGGAATCCTGGCTGGAATTTAGGCCCAGGCCATTCCTAACGCCTCGGGGGGGTTATTTAAATACTTATTTATAAATATTTATTGAACTATCTTTATTTATATATTATTGTAATCCAAATAATGGCCAAAGAAGCCGCCTTTGACGCTCATTTTGCATGGAAACACTTCCACCCATTAGGGACTATTCCGGGATGCGCCAACCACTGGGAAACGCTTCCTGTGCTTGGCCATAAACCCCAGCTCTCCCCATGGACAACCAGCTCCTCCAGCCAGGAAACCTTCGGCAAAGCCCCATGCCCACGGCAACAACAGCACCCGAGGAGCTCACACCAAGCCCTGCGCCTCAAGTAGACGACACCAGAGCCCCAATGGGAACGCACACATGGAACCACGGAGAGCCTGGCAGTGGGAGGGGGGGGAACGGGACCCCCGGGCTCACCCCCACCCCATGGCTCTTTGCACCTCGGGTGCTGCAAGCCCATCCCGCGAGGCTGGAGCCCTCCTCGCCCCCCCGTACCCCGCTCCATGTGCCGGGCAGAGGTGTGAAGCCACAGCCCGGTCGTCGCCGTTACCCCCCCCCCCCCCCAACCTCCGGTGCCCCCCGGGGCCTTGCCCCTCCGGCGCCGCAGGGAGCGGAGCGGCGGGTCCGTACCTGCGGGCGTCTCCTCCCCGCCCACCGGCAGGGCCCGGTACTCACAACTGCGGGGCGCGGCGCGGCCGCTCCTCGGGGCTCCGCGGCGGCCGGGCTGACATGGCACCGGCACCGGCCGACGGGCGGCGGGCGGCGGAAGGCAGGCGGCGCGTCACTTCCGCCCGCTCCGCCGGCCAATCGGAGGGCGCTTCCGCACCGGCTACTTCCGGGAACGGCAGGCACGGAGCTGCGCCGCCGGGCGGCGGTTTGAGGAGCGGCGCTTCCGGGTGTAACCGGAAGTGGTTGGGAAAGAGGGGGAAGTGCTTCCGGTGCGGCAGGGAATGGCTGGTTTGGGGCGGGATGGGACCGGTTGGGGCTGGAAATGACCGGTTTGAACACAGGAAATGGCGGGGT